ATATAAGTTAAATAGGCAGGGCGACAGTATACAGCCTTGCCAAACTCCTTTCTCAATTTTGAACCAATCAGTGGTTCCATGTCCTGTTCTCACTGTTGCTTCTTGACCCGCATATAGGTTTCTCAAGAGACAAATAAGATGGTCAGGTACTCCCATCTCTTTAAGAACTTGCCACAATTTGTTGTGATCCACACAATCAAAGGCTTTAGCATAGTCAATGAAGCAGAAGTAGATGTTTTTCTGGAACTAGTTTTCTCCATGATCCAGCGTATGTTGGCAATTTGATCTCTAGTTCTTCTTCCTCTTCAAAATCCTGCCTGTACTTCTGGTAGTTCTCAGTCTACATACTGCTGGAGCCTAGCTTGTAGGATTTTGAGCATAACTTTGCTAGCATGTGAAATGAGTGCAATGGTGCGGAAGTTTGAACATTTTTTGGCATTGCCCTTCTTTAGGATTGGAATGTAAACTGGCCTTTTCCAATCCTGTGGCTACTGTTGAGCTTTCCAAATTTGCTGGCATATTGAGTGTAGCACTTTTACTGCACCATCTTTTAAGATTTTGAATAGCTCAGCTGGAATACTGTCACCTCCACTAGCTTTGTTGTTGCTCAGACTTCCTAAGGCCCATTTGACTTCACATTCCAGGATGTCTGGCTCGAGGTCAGTGACCACCCCATCATGCTTATCAAGGACGTTAAGCTCTTTCTTGTATAGTTCTTCTGTGTAATCTTGCCACCTGTTAATCATCTGCCTCTGTTAGGTCGCTGCCATTTTGGTCCTTTATCATGCCCATCTTTGCATGAAACGTTCCCTTCATATCTCCAATTTTCTCGAAGAGATCTCTGGTCCTTCCTATTCTATTGTTTTCTTCTATTTCTTTGCACTGTTCATTTAAGAAGGCATTCTTATCTCTTCTAGCTATTCTCTGGAATTCTGCATTCAATTGGGTGTATCTTTCTCTTTCTCCCTTGCCTTTCACTTCCCTTCTTTCCTCAGCTATTTCTAAACTTCCTCAGACAGCTATTTTGCTTTCTTGCATTTCTTCTTCTTTGGGATGGTTTTAGTTGCGACCTCTTGTACAATGTTGCAAACCTCCGTCCATAGTTCTTCAGGCGCTCTGTCTATCAGATCTAATTCCTTAAATCTATTTGTCACCTCTCCTGTATATTCATCAGGGATATGATTTAGGTCATACCTGAGTGGCTTAGTGCTCTTCCCTACTTTCTTCAATTTAAGCCTAAATTTTGCAACAAGAAGCTCATGATCTGAGCCACAGTCAGCTCCTGGTCTACTTTTTACTGACTGTATAGAGCTTCTCCATCTTTGGCTGCAGAGCACAGAGTCAATCTGATTTCTGTGTTGACCGTCTGGTGATGTCCATGTGTAGAGTCGTCTCTTGGGTTGTTGGAAAAGAGTGTTTGCTATGACCATCGTATTCTCTTGACAAAATTCTACCAGCCTCTGCCCTGCTTCATTTTGTACTCCAAGGCAAAACTGGCCTGTTATTCCAGTTATCTTTTGACTTTCTACTTTAGCATTCCAATCCCCCATGATGATAAGGACATCATTTTTTGGTGTTAATTCTAGAAGGTGCTGTAGGTCTTCATAGAACCAGTCAACTTCAGCCTCTTCAGCACCAGTGTTTGGGGCATAGACTTGGACTATTGTGATGTTGAATGGTTTTCCTTGGATTCAAACTGATTCTGATTCCTTGGATTCATTGTCATTTTGGAGATTGTATCCCAGTACTGCTTTTCCTATTCTTTTATTAACTATGAAGGCTATTCCCTTTCTTCTGAAGGTTTCTTGCCCACAGTAGTATACCTGATGGTCATCTGAATTAAATTCACCCATTCCTGTCCATTTTAGTTCACTGATTCCCAAGGTGTCAATGTTCAGTCTTGTTATCTCTTGTTTGACCACATCCAGCTTGCCTTGATTCATAGATCTTACATTCCAGGTTCCTATGGAGTATAGATCTTTGCAGCATTGGACTTTCCTTTCACCACTGGATACATCTGCAACTGAGTGTCCTTTCGGCTTTGACCCAGTCGCTTCATTCTTTCTGGTGCTACTTGTATTAGACCTCTGCTCTTCCCCAGTAGCATATTGGACACCTTCCAACCTGAGGGGCTCATCTTCCGACGTCATATCTTTTTGCCTTTTGGTACTGTCCATGGGGTTTTTGTGGCAAAGATACTGGAGTGGGTTGCCATTTCCTTCTCCAGTGGATCACGTTTTGTCAGAGCTCTCTGCTATGACCTGTCCGTCTTGGGTGGCCCTGCACGGCATAGCTCATAGCTTCATTGGACTACGCAAGCCCCTTTGCCACGACAAGGCAGTGATCCATGAAAGCCCTTTTCCCCCTTTTTTCTTACACCATGACTAAAAAAACAAACTGGAATGTTTTGTTGTCTATAATGAGGGTTCCAAATGGTGCAGTGGAGTGCAGTGGCTGGAATGACCAATTTAGCCAGGGAGAGCCAGATACAATGTTTACTGGGTGGACATGGGCCATGCCTCATCTTTCATACCCAACCTACATCAGAAGACTGGTTGAGGATGAAAAACAAGTGAGTATGTACTGTTCTGCTGGAAGAACAAGGTATCAGCAATAATAGAAAGATGATGATGATGATGATGATGATGATGATGATGATGATGATAGAGAACCTATCTGAGGAATCAGATAGCAACTGAACTGAAAGGTGGCTTAATGCACTTTTGGAACGCACTGCTGGAAACAAAGGAGACACAAATTATTGAAAGGGTGAGTCTTATGACTTCTCCCTGAACTGCAGCATGAATGTGAAGTTTACAGAGTTATTTGGATGTGCAGCAATGCCTCATCAGGAAAGTGCCTTCCTTAGAAAAAATATTTGGAACTCTACTTTTCATACACATTATTAGAATCATGTTGGAGGAGAGCTGAGCCAAGCAACATCTTAAAAGCATGAAGGACTCATGATTTCAATCAAGCGAGATTGCGAGTCATTGTAACATTACTCAGTATTTAATGTATGTGTGAAAGTCTTTCAGGGTTGGAGAGGTGCATTGGCTACCCTCCAAGGCCCACATTCCTTCCCTGTCAGAGAAAATGGTTGCAAATCTTCAGAGAAACAAAGCTGGCTGCAAGCACACTCCTTGATTGCCAGAATAATTGGTTTTAACAGCTTGCCCATCAGTTTTTTGTGTGCTGCTGGAAACCAGATTGTGCTGAGAAGCCAGCTGCATGTTTCTTGTATGACTTGTTTCTTAGCATAATTGCTGCAATTTTGGTGGCAACAGCAGTGCTGAAGGGGGCTAGACGGCCATGCAAATGGCTATGATAGGGCACCAACTGTCTGTCCTTGCTTTGATTGGATAAGATGTAATTGCATGTTTCAGGAATTCTTCCTGTTTCATTATTCACTAGGCACCTGAAAACATTATTTCCTAAGGTCCTATTTAGAGCTAGATTTTTTCTGCTTTATGAGTACTTTCTTGAAGGATGTATATTCCCTGACAGAAGTTGCACGCACACTGTCTGGAATGACAGACAAACTCTGTTTATTCCAAGGTTTTACTCAGAAGACAAAGAAGATACACTGTGGCCAGGAAGCAGTCTTTGGAGAGGTAAGGAAGCATCATCATGCAGGGAATGGCATTCCTACTCAAGCATCAGTTCTTGAATGTTTTTTAGGGATAACACTCTCCCTTGAGCCAAACAGTGTACCCAGGGCATATTCATGCTATAACTTCATTCTGCCCTATAATCTGTTTTTGTTAAATCATGTAAGTTTATGCTTTCCCTAATATATCAAACACCACATAGTAAAGAATAAAAGAAAATGATTCATTTTCCATAGCTGTTCACTATTGGTCCATGTCTAAATGCCAGAATGTCGCATGACTAAAGAGATGGGAAACAAACAAAACATCTTGTACTACCTTTAAAGACCAAAAGAAATGCAAAAAGAGAAACCAGTTCTCAAACCAAGGAACCACTTTTGCAGTCCAAGTGGCATCCTTTAGCAAGAGCAATCTACTGGTCTCCTTGATCTAAAATGATGAAGTGTAATAGATTCCCCTTCTTGGCACCTTTGAAAAGGAAGTTCCTCTTCTTACATTTCTTTTAGAAATGGTGCTCTCATTCTGGTTTTAATTTCATTAAGACAGGGCTAGACAACCTGATGCTTTCCAGATGTGTTGGACTACAGTGCAGTGGTTATAACATTGGACTCGAGACCTGGGATATCAGGGTTCCATTCCCCACCCAGCCATGAAGATCACTGGGCGATTGTGAGTCAGTCACTGACTCTCAGCCTAACCCTTTTTACAGGGTTGTTGTGAGGATAAAATGGAACTGAGCTCTGTATAAGCCATCTTGGGATCCTTGCATGAAGAAAAATGGTGGGATATAAATTCAATGAAACAACAAATGTTTTAATAAATAAATAAACAATAATAGCAACTTTCATGAGGTTCATCCAGCATGGCCAATGGCCATGGATTTTGGGAGCTGTAATCCAAAACACCTGGAGGTACTAGCATTTTTACCCTTGTCCTAAGGAAAAACAGATGCTTTATGGCATAAGCTTTCCCCCACAGGTTGTACCATCCAATAACATATGTCATGAAGAACTGGGGAGTGGGCTCGTCATAAGGTTCCAAAGGCATGAATTTTCTCGTTCATTTCCACTTTTAGCTGTTTCGCTGGCCACATTATGGAAAACTCCTTATGGAAGAGATGCTGATAGTTAAAGTTTACAATTGCAGTAAGGTATTCAGTAACAGGTAGGTTAATATTTCCTTCAAGGGAGTGATTAAGGCACTACCCAGGCACTGGCTTAGTGAGACAGTGCCTGGCTGATAGCATCACCAGTATCCAATGGTGAAATCAACACATATCAGCACTACGGAAATCACTGCAGTATTCAACCTCACGCAAACTGCATTCTGT